CAGTAATCCCATCAGCCCATAGAACACTACAAACCTGCATCCTAATAAGATTGTATATGGCAGAAGTAATATCGAACGGGGACACCCTTGGTGAATATATTCAGTATCAGTCATAAGGATTTCAGGAGGATAACACGCACTCTCGAAAGTCGTCGATTTGCTTCTTCATGGCTGGAATATTGTCAAGTGAGTCCTGCGAGTTCGTCTTGAATGGTTGTATTGTGGTCTTAGTCACGTTTTTGCAATGGAGATGGCCAAACGCCCTGGCGTCCTCTGCATTGCCCTTCATGGTCTAGTGACGATTAGTAAGTTCTCGATTGACAATGCATGGTCCACTTGGTTCACAGCCACTGACTTTGACGATTGTGAGGATCTGTAGAGCGATATCGGGGATCGCGGTCACGGCAGACTTGAAAGGTTCTGGGATAGGTGCAGCGTTAAGCAATGTCGACAGAATTTCGAGCCCGTCCTTGGCAACTTCCGTTTGGAGCGCCAAAAAGTAAAGAGAATGGACAGTTGAAGTCGAGGGTCGTCTTGTTATCAGATGGACGCGGCGAATGTTGATTCGTTACCACTGTATTCGGCGGCGTCTAGTATGTGGTCTTATCCATATAGCCAAGTACGACAAAATAATATTGGCATATTAGTGGCTACTACCGAATGAATTCGCTTCGGTTGAATAGTCATAGTTGTAAAAACCGTTATTCTTTCGATTCTGAAAGGACATGTTCATTGTACATCCCCACGCGTTGGAACCATATTGCAGCTGGTAGACTATAGGTTATCAAATTCTACTCAGGAATTGACATCCTTGAGAGTACCAAAAGCCAAATATCCCTCAACGATCCGGCGACAAGAGGAACCCGACGATGTGTGTTGGTATTACTATTTTAGGCCAAGGCGGGAAGACCATTGGCGACGTGGTGGACGATCTGATCCATCTCCTCTGGATTCAATGTGTGCGTACTGACTTTGCATTGCGACAATGGGTGGGGTGCATTTTGAGGGTGGTTGTCGGATCACTGTCAATGTCCGAGGCGGAACCTAAGTCGGGCTCAAGGTCGAGGTGATTATTGTCAGGATCGTATTACACGTGGGCGCGATTGGATGTTGAATCAAATGTAAGTTTGGAGCTCAGGCTCGACATGGCGTGGTGGTGAGTGCATTTACTTCCACCACCGTGAAGAGACCCCTCATCGTAGAGTCCACCCTGTCCAAATTTGCTTCGACTTGGTCACCTTCCCCTCGTCGCGCCGGCTTTGTTTCTGTCTCAATCAGCCCGGGACTCCACCTTGATCAATATGATTACCGTTATCTCCATCTTGATCAGCCACGCCCTCGCCTTGATCGAAGGCATTCGCTCCAAGTTCAGCCGTCTGACTTCACTTAATCCCATTCTTGTACCTAAGGATCCTTGCGTCGATAGCGTTGCGTTGATCAACAGCAAAGGCAATCCCATTGTAGATGCACGCGTGCGGTTGGTGGTTGTGGTTAGCGATTGAGAAACCAGGGTAGGTATCCCGGACCAAACATGTCAATATGTGGGAGCCATCCACCTTGAATTGGTTCGCGTAGTCTCTACAATGGTCGCGGTGAGGACTCGACATTAGAGGAACGTTTTTTCGCCTCCGGGATCTCCACGCACGCTCCGAGGTAGTACATAGACCGAAAGACGCAGATATAGTGTCTCTGAGATTGTTCATGATACTTGAGGGTTGACGGATCCGAAGAGGGAGCCAGCAACGCGTTTGGAATCTCTTCCCAAAACGTGAGGAATCCATCGAGCTGATCAATCGATAGTTACAACAAGGGAGATTCGGAAGTCATCTTGACAGCGAGATTGTCATAATCGAGTATCGCAAGTCGTTGAAAAGTCATATTGAAGAGGGGCATGCCGAGTCTCGTGCCGCAAAGTTGTCGTAGGAGACAGGAATGGACATCGCTTGATAAGCACCTTCATCATGGCTCCATAACGTCCGCCTTTCATATGCTGGATAAGAAACCTATCCTCCCGATACCCAAATACCTGCTTGGTATAAACCCATCACATGCAAACGACACCGAGTGGCCCATCCTTCTGTGACGTCATCCATGTGTTTTCAGGACACCTTCGGGCGGATCGTGGGGGCACTGAATGACTGGGGCAGTGGACAACGGTGGATATGTGAAGGGTTAGATTGGCCTTCTCGTTGGCGCGTAACCTGGCAGGGGTGGGTTGCGCGACGGTTATCGGGATGGGTGCGTTTTGGGACTTTGCCCAAGACGAGTGTGCTGGGACAAAGGGATGGGAGCCATGGGATGGAGCATCAGTTAAATAGAGATACCAAAGGTAAACAAGACAATAAAGAGATGGGGATCGTAAAGTGTTTAAGCTGATAGTGGCGGAATGTGTGACGACCGGTGCAGGAGTATGCTGATACTGTACAAGCGGATCAGACGAGCGTGCTGGTGGTGATGGATGAGCAGCTGCTAAATGAGGTGCCCAAGGAAGACGATGTATCTCACCTATACCCTGCTCCCTTGACGTCTTCGGTACCTTGCTTGCCAAGCATTCATCGCTAGTTAAAGGCACAGACGCAAATGTTTTAGTATCTACATACGTACATATGTTGGGCGGCTGGGATACAAATGCAAGCAAAATAAACGCTGTTTACCCATCGTGCTTTGTTATTCGGTGGAGAACATGACATGATTTGGGCGAAGCTGAAAATTGTCCGTGTCCAAAAAAAAACAAACAAACAAGAAGCTGGAGTGATGGAGAATCAAGATAATTATCGTTGAAATGGGCAAAATGTCTGTCCGGAAAAAGTCCTAGGTTTCATTCGCCTTGGAGAGTAGGCGGGACGTATAGGCTGGTGAGGTAAACTAGGCGTAGATCTCGTTGACGGCTTCGAGGAAGCGGCGAGTGATCACATAGCTCTGGAACTGAACCTCTTCGAACTCGGGATCGGCAAGGAGGGCACGTTCGATATTATGGATATCGCGAACGCGAAAGCTGGTGTTAAAAGAGATTATTAAGATACGATTTAGTGTGTTGATTAGATGTTGAAAAGCGCGCAGAAGGATACGACTTACAATGGGGTGAAGCTAACGACAGCATTCGAGTTGGAAGCTGAATCGTCCCTCCAGCGACGATAGTGGTGGAGAGTCAAGGGCTCCATATATTCAATCAGCTTGCGACGAACGATCTTGGACACCTTTGAACGCTTGTTGGCCATCTTCTTGTACTCGGCTTGGTCATCGGTGAAGTCGTAGTCAGTGTACGCAGTGCCATTCTCGCTGACAGAAAGAACATGAAAGCAGATCATTAGCTATGTTTGAGTCGAAACGAGATTGGAAGAGACTGACGAAGTGAATTTTCCATTGCCAAGCAAGAAAGCAGCAACTTGAGATGCCTTTAGGATCTGGTCGGGGTGATCGAACAGGGAACGTTTGATCCTCTTGCAGCCACTCCCTCCACCGGATGGGGCGCCACCCCGCTTCTGGTGGTACAGCTCAGGATATTTTGCACGGATTACCAACTCTTTTCGTTGAACTTGATGCAGAGTGACGGGTGGAGCGGGGACGGCGAGAGCGGAGAGGGTTGAGAGGGCAATGACGACAATCGGAAACAGAACGGTGAACGAGCGCATTCTGTTGAGGATGAAGAGCAACGGGGGGAGATGGGGGGAGGGAGGGGGAACGAAGAAAGAGGTTGTTTAAGAAGCGGAACGTAAGCAACCTCGTCTAGTCTGGTGCTGGTCCGGGAGTCGAAGTCACCGAAAGAGAGCGGATCTAAGCCGCCGAAGTGGGCAACTTCGCCCATTTCGAACACATCGAGGGTCGAAGTTGCTTCCGCCGCATCCGAGTATATAGTTCCTATCGGCCAATTTAATGTATTTCTCACAATCAAGATTATCTAAGAACCTGCTTCTCCGGGGATCACGATGAACACAGTGATAACCAAGGGCCCAGACCGTCAAGTATCCGCTGCATTATGCTCATCGGCACACCTTAGGCGAACACATACGCTCAACAGCTTCCAATTGCGCAAATTTCATCTCCCCCGACACCCCTCGCTGCCAACCTCCCGGGTTATCGTCTTCCCGCTGCCGACAAGCTCGAGCTCTCAAACCATTCCGAACATGCCTCAAAGGCCGACCAGGTTATTGATCTCATCATAGCGGCTTTAAAGGGTGACTTTGAGGAAGAGATCCCAGACTATTAACTACTCGCATACCTGTGCCTGCTAGCTTTCGTTTAATATAACCTTTTTTCTTTTTCTTTTATACAACTACTCTGATTGTAGCGCGAGATTTTTGTCCAGCCTGACAGCTGCAAGAGTGGGTGTGAAACCCGTTCCCATCCATACATGTCTTCTGCTCTCGATCTTTCATCCGTCACACTTCGAACCGCCGAAGTTTGCGTTTCGAGTCCGTCCGAGCTCTGTCCGGACCAACACTCACCTCGTCTTTATATGTCTCAGCTTTGCATACACCCTTTTTTTGCGGTCTAAGAAGGTTTTTCTATTGAGCCGATGCACGGCACGACATTCCTGATCGCCAAGCTAAGAAAAGCACATGAGAGTACCTTTCTGAGCCCAGCGATGTCCGTTCGTCCAGATCCCAGAGCCGTCTTTTCCGCAATAGGCCATAGCCGCCTTGATCCTCGACTTCAACAGCTAAAATAAGAAGATCGTGCCGGTCCCAACATGGAGGAGTTGCGACGCGTCCTTCGACCCGATAACCCTGGTACCTGTAGGGTCGGCGAATGAGCGCAAACTGCCGAGAATCATTGCGTTATACTGTTGGCTTTGGCTGGCATATCGTTGATCACCATAATCGGTATGATGCACCTTTAGGTATCCCTGTAACAACGAGCTGCGCATGTGAGCTACCTCAGGTACAAGAACTGACGCACCCCTGGCGGTTCTCGGGAGCTTTCAAGGGTTCTATATTTCTATCGACTCGTATGATGAACTTAAGTAGATATTTTTTATCCCAACTCAGCGAGAGCAAAAATGGAGTACATAGGAGTCGAACCCATTACTTCTCCCATGTGATTTTGAAAGCGCGTAATGCAACTGCTAAGGGAGCGCTCTACCGATGAGCTAGAACCCCTGCCGCAGCGAAGCTCAGGGATTGAGTTTATGTGCTTTTACAGAGAGTGGGCTTTGGAAGTTAGGAACGAGAATTCCCATTGATGTTTGCGCCCTTGCCTAGGGACAATTCGACCCTGAAGTAGCATAAAAGATACACGTTCATATGGACGCGAGCACTGTAATGTGACACTTATTTAAATCCCCAAAGAACGCCTGTGTATTGCGACAGTATACCAAATGAATGACAATCGAATCCGATCAAAGAATAAATAATTAAAAAGATAGTCCATTCCATTCAGAAATGGGGAGTGAACATCCACATTTCTGAATGTCTGGGGTATGAGGGAGTATGAGGATTGCCGAGCGGGAAGGAAGTCAGGAGGAGTCATCTAGCTATACATCTCGTTGATGGCTTCGAGGAAGCGACGAGTGATCACGTAGTGCTGGAATTGGACCTCTTCGAAGTCGGGATCGGCGAGGAGAGCACGTTCGATGTTGTGAATGTCACGGACGCGGAAGCCAGTGCTGAAGAGATCAAGAGACGCGTAAGTGCATTGACCCGACGCCAATAGCAGATAGTGAACAATGGCTTACGATGGTGTGAAACTAACGACAGCATCTGAAGTGGCAGCGGAATCATCCCTCCAGCGGCGGTAATGGTGAATAGTCAATGGCTGCAGGTATTCAACGAGCTTCCGACGGACAGTATTGGACAGGCGTGAACGCTTGCTGGCCCTCTTCACGTACTCGGCCTGGTCATCGGCGAAGTCGTAGTCAGTGTATGCGGTGCCATTCGCACTGCAAGGAATAACGCGAAGGATCGTCAGCCATTTTTCGTTTGAATAAGTTTTGGGCGGCTTACGATGTGAATTTCCCATTGCCAAGCAAGAAAGCGGCAACCTCGGACGCTTCGAGGACCTGGTCGGGATGATCGAACAGCGAACGTTTGATCTTCTTGCAGCCACTCCCGCCACCAGACGCTTGTCGTTTCTGGAGGTACAACTCAGGGTACTTTGCACGGATGGCCAACTCCTTCCGCTGAACTTGGTGGAGAGTGACCGGGGGAGCGGGAGCGGGACTGGCGAGGGCTGAGAGGGCTGAGAGGGCAACGACGACGGTGGAAAGGAGAGTGGCGAATGAGCGCATTTTGTAGAGACGACGACGCGAGCGGGAGGGGAGGAGAGGAACGGGAAAGTTGGGTTGGTTGAAATTGAAGTACAAATTCTCCTTTATCTCCTTTTTCCGCGCTTTCGGTTTTTCCTCACATGTCTAAGCTTACGCGAATCGCCAAGCCGTCATGCCAGAATTGGTTACTTACACGGCAGATCGGCATCCCTACCAAACAGGCACCTCAGGGCACTCCACGTGCAGATCAGCTGCGGGATGCCCACGCCGATGTCAGTGCTTCCATTTATATCCGTCGCACCCCAACCGTCAATCTCGACATTTGAGCATGACCCAGATGTGACAGGACAGACTCACCCACCAGTTTATCTTACTTTTGGCCGTCACAACCAAGTCCTTCCATGTACATCTATGCTATGCGGTCAACTTGTTCCCTGATGGCGATGTGTGGACGGCGATGCCATTGTGACCCCGAACAACTGCGGAAGGGCCACCGCTCCGAAATGTGTATTCATTCACCACCACATCCGATCCTCCCCCGACCACAGTTCTGCGAGTTGTACAAGCATGGCAAACGCACGCCATTCAATAGAATAGTTGTAAGAGGATCAAGCCTTCCCTGTATGATCATCCAAGCACGATCAGACGCGGTCCTCGTTACACACTTTGATATCATGAATAATACCCCATTGATCATTCATACGCAACCGGGTTTGCAATTTCAAAATTGCCTTACCAGCGCTACACCGCCCTGGATCGAACGCCCCTTCGCCAACCCGGGTTTGGGCCGATCCCAAAGCTCCATTCCGCCCGGCTCAATCTCAATGTCTCAACGCCCTCAGATTAGACCCCAGTTTGGAAGTTGAGTTGTTGGGAAAGTCATCCCCCTTCCTTCCCCTCCCTCATCACCTCACCTGATCAATCACTCTGTCGAGTTCGGTTGCCGTAAATATGGCTGCGGCTAATCCTACGCAACCTATCACGCAGCATCAAATTCAGATCGTAGAGCTCAGCGGTTCAAAGTATCCAGAGTTGTACAAGCTCGTGAGGCATAGCATGTCGTCTAATAACAATCACGGTAGTTGTGAAAAGGGTCAAAATATATTTGATGACACTAGATACTTTCTCTATCTGGGGCGGGCACTTTGCTGTGTGAACATGCAGCCCGACGGCTAAAACAGGGCCTTGTAGCGACCCAAATGGCCAAAGATAGCGAATTTGCCGGCAACCTCTGCTCAGATCGAGTGATTAGATGGGTGGGACGTAGTGACTCTTAGCTACAGATGTTTCAGCATCGGCCAGACTTCTTAGGGCTGAGGTCAGTTATGCATATTTCAGTAGCCCTTCTCATTACTTGTTACATTTCCTACCTCAAATAAGACTGGGCCATAGCCAAATTGCTCCATAACCCTAAATATCACACAATTAACACTATTTGACGGGTTAAACCAAAAAAAGAGGAAATTCCTGTAGCTACTATCTGGGTATATGCTGGATCCCGTTGCAGCTGAAGCGAACTTAAACATGGCCAGTGCCGAGTCTCCATTTGGATCTTCCCGTAGCTGCTTTCTTTGAGGGGGTTCAATTTAAATAGCAAATCCCCGGTAACCTACGTCCGAAAGCTCGTAGCTGTAGTGCCGGTGGCATACTTAAGAATGGGGGGCGCTGGCGATGAGTTCGACTCGTTTCCGTTTTGTGGTAACTGTGCTTCTGACCAGCTGCCAGGATAACATTGTGCCCTATTGCACCACTATAGTCAGCACGAAGCGCACTTCTAAGCCCGTGCGCTATGTCTGTAATAAAACAAGCTTCGGTATATCCGCCTACTTCAAGCACAAGAACTCCCACGTCCCTCAAAATTCTTGAAGCTTTTAAGGGTTAGTTATCATCCATATTTCTATCGGCCTTAGTAGCATCTCTAAGGTTTACTTCTGAGCTATGCCTTGATATGGAAGGACGAGACGTTGATACCTTCTCGAATTGACTCTTGCGCCGTTATTCAGCAATACAATATAATATACCAAGATACACGCCCATGTGGTACTACAAACATTCGTGACTGGTTGAGTCTTCTTTTACAGGATCATCGCAGTGTAATAAGTATACGAATCCTTAAAGTACTTTGCGATAGTATGACAAATGAAGGACAACAGGATTCAACCAGAGGGGAAATGACTGAAAAATTATCCATTCGATTCAGAAATGGGGAGCGAACGCCCACATTTGGGGTATGAGGGAGGAAGTATGATTGCTGCGCGGGAAGAAAGGAGTCGGGAGGAGCAATCTAGCTCTAGATATCGTCGATGAAGCGACAAGTGATTATGTAGCTCTGGAACTGAGCCTCTTCAAAGTCGGGATCAGCAAGGAGGGCGCGTTCGATGTTGTAGATATCCTAGACATGGAAGCCAGTACTGAAAACGGATCAAGACACGATTCAGCGCGTTGATCAGATGCGCAAAAAGAAGGGAAAAAACTTACGATGAGGTGAGGCTAATGACGGCATCTGATGTGGAAGCGGAATCGTCTCTCCAGCGACGGTAGTGGTAAAGAGTCAACGGCTCCAAGCATTCAACGAGCTTTGTGACGACCTTGGACACCTTTGAACGCTTGTTGGCCCTCCTCTTGTACTCGGCTTGGTCATCAGCGGAGTCGTAGCCAGTGTGCGCAGTGCCATTCCCACTGTCAGAAAGAACGTGAAAGCGTTATTTGCATCAATTTGTGTTGCTAGATGCACCAAACATATCATACCAGCCAGAAGGCTGTACAGCACTGACCTCGTGGTTATTATCTGTTTGAATCCAACATAGACTGATGAAGTGAATTTTCCATTGCAAAACAAGAAGGCAGTGACTTGAGACACCCTGAGGATCTGGTTTATGGTGTGCTGTTTGTGTCACAATGAGCAATGGACAATGGACAATTGACAAGTGCCAACTGATAACTCTTGACTTTGCTATGTTATATCTCTGGCTATTATGGGCCTTCATGTAGCCAGTAGCCCTCAGTAGCCCTGGTTAATCTGGACCCTGGACAGGCTACATTGTTAAGAGTTAGCTCCTTGCTAAACTCTGATATGCATGACTGTGCTGAGGATGCCAACCAGGGGTACTTACTGATGACAATGGATTGCTTTTTGAGAGGGGATAAGAGAGAATGGATTGAAGACACTAGATTACAAACAGGTGTTTGTGATGGGGATCCTACAGCATTCCCCTTGCTCTATATATACTAAATTCAAAGGAATCTTCCAGAACGTTCTCCTAACATCCTCCTAAGGCTGACTGATCCCTCCACCATGCTGACTGATGCTTTCAGTACACTGACTGAGCTTAGACTTGCAAACTACTTAGTTCTCCTAAGAGGAGTTTCCTACAATGGTCTGGTGATCCCTGAATACTGGTTTCTCAGACTCCTCAGGCTCAAGGAAGGTTGTCCTCAAC